TGTCACTTACCTATAAGGCGAGACGGCGGAGTCCGGTGGTGAAGGAAGATGGCGGCCATAGCCGTGGAGTATTGACACAGAGTACCGGAGGAGACAAAGAAGAGGGAGAGAGAGGGAAGAAAGGAGGAAGGAGAGGTAGCCGAGGGTGAAAAAAAAAAGAAGAAGATCGGGGTGCAAGAGGGAGAAAGAAAGAGAAGGTGAAGGTGCCGGCAGCCATAGCTGAAGGTTGACGAAGGTTGGAGAGTTGACCAGAGGGTTGACCAAGGAGGTTGACCAGCGTTGACCAAGCCGCCGTTGACCAAGACTTGACCAAGCTGGAGTTGGTGAGATCTCGCCAAGCCTTCAGCCTTCTCCCTACCCCGTGGATGTACACTCACCCATTGGTACTTGCTGAGGTCAAGAGTCTGTCTGTCTCTCCTTTTTGCATTGAGTCTCTTTTGTCCTAGGTGATAGAATCGGTGGATGAAGGATAGGGCCTTGCTGCCAAACCCACACGAGCTTAGTAGGACTCCTACTCTGAGACTTGAGGACCTGGGCATGAGCGGCGAGCGCTCGTTAAACAACTCGTCTAGCCCAATGACCAGTACTGACCGGCAGGTTTTTCAATATTAGTTTAGTGGGTCTGAACTCTGAGCTGTGGGCTGAAACGAAGGCCGTCGTTAAGTATTGAGGCCTGGTTGAGCCACTCCCCTATCGGACCTTGTAAGGCTGATGATTTGTGTCTGACGACTCGACTGTCCCGAGGGATACGAACCCCTCCAAGGACCGGTACAGACCGGCGGGCTGCTCGGTGTGGCACAGTAGGCTGGACGGGCTGAGTTGTGGGCTGAAATCGCCAGAGGAACCAAGCTGATCGCGTCGTCCTGTCTGCGACGTTAAAGAATTCTTGCGAAGTTGGGGGATCTTCTAAAATACCTCCTGATCAGCTTTTGGTTCTGTAGTGACAGCCTTAGAGTAGTCTTGGGTTAGTTGCCTGTGGTCCTTAGGGAGTCAGTCAGTAGGTCAGTGTGTCCGGGTAGGTCTACGTGGTGAGGAGTGGGACCCCTGTCGTGCACCAACACCACGATGGATGACTATCCGATTTATGGGGTATTTGTTGGGTTCTCCCTCTGGGGACCCTCTGGCGTCTCCTCTTTCCTCTGGGCTTTTGGCCCACTTTCACGTGTAGAGTAGTGCCCACTCGCGGTGGGACGTCCACCACCCCCTACACGAAGGAGGAGGAGGAGAAGATGGCCGCCCTTCTACAGGAGAAGAAGGAGAAAAAGGAGGCCAAGAAGAGGGTCTTGAAGGAGGAGCAGGCGGCCAAACTGAAGAAGATGGAAGAAGAAATGGCCAGAGAGAAAGAGAGGTTGAAAAAGGAAGAAGAAGAGAAACTGAAGGAGGTGGATGAAGAAGAGGAAGGACCGCCACTGCAAAGGAGTAGTGGGCAGCCCAGTAGTAATACCGGTGGAGACTTAGAGAAGAGGATATCTGAATGGGTTGCCAACCTGACTGTGGGAGAAGAGGAAGAGGTTAGTATGTACATCCCGCAGGATCAGCAAGAAGCCGCCATGAAGGCTTGGGAGGCAGAGAAAGACCCTCTGAAACGTCAAGCATTGGAAGACGAGAAGAGGATGGAATGAAAATTAGCGATGATGCGGGAGAAGAAGAGGAGAATTGACAAGGCAGCGGAGGCGGCAGAGGCCTTAGAAGAGGTGAAGAACATAGAGATGCAATTAGCCGCCCATCCCGATCTCCCGAATCAGATGCGAGTCATAGCTCGAAGCGTTGCATGCCTAGCACGGGTTCAGGCAGACCAATATGACTTTAGCAGAAGTCAGGACATAGCTGTGCGGTCGATACAATTGGGCTTTCGAGACTTTTCTCGTGAGTTGGTAGGCGCCGTTGGAGTCGAGGTGGGTCACCGCCTCGACAAGACTGAGCGGTTCTGCGCCGGCGCCATTGAAGGCGTCAAGGCGGCAGCTCCCAAGGAGGAGGAAGCACGTCCTCCTCGCCGGGAGCCTGTCAAAGTCAAGTTCCCCGATTCCTACAGCGGGAGGAGGGAAGAAAACTTTGATAATTGGGAGGCCAACGTTAAGACCTATGTGCACTTGCAACAGGTCTCCCTAGATCAGCAAGTCTTAATTGCTATCCACGCACTGAGAGATGAGGCCGCCAGTTTTGCAAGGTCCCTAGTTCGCGCTGCCAACTGTAGTGATGATCCCATTGCGTACTCCTCATTTACTCCCTCACCGAATTTCTGAAGTTGTTGCGCGAGCGATTTGCTGATGTCGCTCGCGGTGTCAAGGCCTCAGACAAGCTCCAAACCATCCATTCTCGTAAATGGAAGAGTGCCAGGGCACTCAAGGGTACAATGGATGAGTTGGTGGCCGTCCCTAACCATGGGGTCACAGAGGGCCAGTTGGTCAACCTCTTTTACCGGGCTATGCCCGAAGCCTTTCGAGGGCAGTTCTTCGCGAAGAGCGAAGACCCTGCCACCACTTACGATTCTCTTAGTCGTGAGGTGGT